TCATGGAAATCGGCCCGGTAGAACGCTCAAACGAACTATGACAAAAAGTATAAATTTACATTGTTTAAATGGGAGAATTCGCAACTTTACCACGTAATATAAAAAAACCTGGGCCATATTTTGAAAATCTGAAAAGAGTTGGCTTATCTAGAGACAATTGCCCGTCGATAGCCGCAAAAATCGTGAAAATCGGCCCGGTAGAACGCTGGAACTAAGCGTCACCAGTTTCGCAAAATTAGGAGGTCTTGGAGCTTATAGTATAGATAGAATCTCATATAATTAGGTCCTATCCCTAAGGTAATTAGTAAGCTTCCTTAGGAAAGTTAACAACAAAAAAGTCTACTTAGAGATGAATTGACCAAAGTTTAACGTATGCTTTCGACCAGGTGTGGATGGTTATAGGACAGGATGAGCATAGATTGAATTTCCAAAATATATCGATGGCTAAAAAAGAAAACCACATACCTCCATTTACGACACTGCAGACTTCCTGTCAGACTTTATTTTTTCTTTGAAAAACTAGTCGACGTAATTTTTTTAAAACTTCCCTGATTTTTCTTCTCTGTAAGCAGGACATTCTACATACATTTCAAGCTATAAAATTGACTCGTTTCTCTTCAAAAGAATAAAAACAGAGCGAAAAATACGAAACACTGCGAGGAATTACGCGGTTTTGCACTTTCGCCATCGATATGAGAAAATCGATGATTTGCTGAGTCCAAAATTTAAACTTAGATCCAAAATTATGTAAGCCCTCCGAAATATTTTTAGAAAACACACGGGATCCCTTTACTCACGTGCAGCATTTTGCGGCACAAATATCATGTCTTCAAAATCTGGTCAAGTCAAAAATTATTCTTAAAACTTACCTCTTTGCACCGAGTTAAAGCAATCCTTGTACGTTTCATGTTCCAAAAACCATCATCCGTTTACGTAATTTTTCCCGATAAATCCGTTTATTTCCATTTATACCGAGGCAATTGTTATTGGGTATTTTAACAGTCTTTATTTTTCCGAGTATCGGGGAGTTAGCCCGATGACTCAACCTCCAACCTGGAGGACTGGGGTTTGATTTCGGAGTTTCCTCTCCTAGACAGGTTGCTTCCACTACAGTTATGAGAGCCCTGTCTGCCCTTCCAATGGGTGGTTCACACACCTTGAAGCCGGTGACCATCTCCACTACCCCGTAAGGTAGGGGTTACCGGCTGGGGTCCGCAGGATTGCTAAACCTGTGACAACAGTCCCCCATACAAGTTAAAGCAATCAATTATTTAAAAGGAATCTTCTCTTAGCCGTGACGTAGCGCTAACACCTCTAACCGCGCTTATCTGAGTAAAAGCGCAAGCAACGGGGTCAGTCACCTAGCCGACAGTCATCTCTCTCCTGGTAAAAAACCGGTACGATTTATGAATCCAGAAAAAAGAATCGTTGAAATCTTGAAATATTTAAAATGCGAATGACGTCATCTTAGTAAAAATAAAACAGTCGCAAGACATGGAATGGCAGGAATGGCAACCTGTCTAAAAACGTAAAAAACTGGAAAGTGCTTTCCCCACCCTGACTCACTCTAGACGGGTCCAGTGGTGTGATAAGACACATTTTAAAACACAGCAAGAAGATTTTGGTTCTTTTTCTTTTTGCCTCCCATTAAAAACCGGACGAAAATTTCCGATTTAATCATCTTGAGACGATGTTTGTCCCGTAGAGCAAAGATCATTTTCTTCTTCTCCCTCAATTCCAACTTTTCTGCGTGCATATTTCTAACCCTTGTATACTGTATTTCGCAAAATAAAAGGCGGAAAATGTTCAAATGAATGAAATTATATTTAGGAAAAAAAAATTAAATATTTTCATCGAGGTTACTTTGAAACAATCGACATCTGGAGACCTCGAAATTTTCATAAATTTAAAAAGCAAATCAGAAAGAACCCTGATGCCTTTAGAAGCAATATAAGTAAGTTCATTCATTTCTGCAAAACTTTAGACCTTTGAAACTGATCATTACCGACAGAATTTGCTTATAACTGATCAGTTGAGTTAAAAAATGTTCAAGACTCTCTGGACTTTTCTCGCAAACTTTATGAATCGTATGACCTTAAGAATCATTTAAAAAAAAATAGGGGAGCGAATGAAAATTGTTTTAACATCGTATGAAAAAGAAATCGGATTAGGAGATATTTCCCTCTGTCTCTCTCCTCGGAGGAGCTTGAGTGTCCTACTTTTAAATGGTAATTTTCAAGTAGGAAAAATGAAATGCAAAATCGAAGTGGAATAATTTTGAATTTCTGGACTGATCAGACATTCATCCACAAACGGTTCAACGACATTTAAAGGCCAATTTTTTTGCAAATTTTTCCGCTGTTATGGTACTAGGGGCTTGACGTTACGGGATGAGTGGATTTAAATGAATACATATTTGGTTCCTTTCTCTGAACTAATCTCAGCATTAGGCAATGTGATGTGGGACCTACTTCGTTTTTCTCTTTTTCTCTGAATTGGACCACACTTTGCAATTTGGAACTTTAATACCTATTTCAATGCAGAAACAACGTATACAACCGTTGGTTTCCCTATGCACATACGTGTTTCTACCGATGAGCCAAAAATTATTGTTCCGAATTACAATATGTAATCCAACTGATGGTTGAATTCTGATCCTGACGTTGCAAAAAAAAAGGATTCAAGTTAATTAAAATGTTTTGAAAAATATTGATTTTTTCAGCCAATTTGAACTTATTGGTCGACTAGAAACAACCAAAGCTCCTCAAGTTCATTCAGATTTAAAGATTTACATGGATTCTTTTCTGTGGAGGAAAAAAAAGAAATTCTATAACAAGTAGGCCTCTTTCCTTACAAAAAAATTGACTCTTTTTTACTATAGTCGATCAAAATGTACGGCAAAGAATTGGATTTTCTGAATCGTCGAATTTCAAAATATATACCATGATTTTCTGCGCACTCCGTGCGACTTTGATAAACAAAGCGAAATTCACAGAAGAAGACGGGAAAATGAAGTTTCCTACTGGTGGAAACCGGTGGTTGTTATGCACTGAGGGGAAAAATGATAGACTAACTAAAAGTTCATTCTTGGATTGCCGTTAGTTAGTCTATTACTAATCTCATTTGCCTATGCAACCACCCACTTCCACATGAAGGACGATTCATTTCTCCTTTGTCTATCGATTTCGATAATCAGTCCGCAGTGCCGTTATACTTAAAATGCCCACTCTACCTAAAATATTTTAAAAGTAAGTTAGAAATCAAAACGTCCAGCGCATATTAACACGTACATTCGGGAAATTTTGGCAATTTTTCTTGCTAATGTGAAGATTTTTTCCACAAAAATTTAAACATAAATGTTGGTTGGTTTTTTCCAAAAATTAAAAAAGGAAATTACATTCTGAAACATCGTCATGTTGATGCTATTATTCTGCTTGATTCTATCCGAAATTATCCTTCCATCAAAAGGCACTGAAAAAAAAGATTGGATTATTTAGACTCAGCTAACCCAAATTGGCATTGTACACACTCTTATTTCTACTGAACGTACAGGAAACTTATTTGTCAACCGTGCAGCTCCATTATGTTGAAGCACCGTAAGCTTGCTGTATAATACCGATTAGTTGGTGCACGATATCAATTTGAGTTGGCTGGATCAGAATAACCCAACCCCCTTTTCCAGCGACCCTCCATTTTCTCTATGTCTTTGTCCATAGCTTTGTCAATTAATTTCAATAATCAGTCCGCTGGCACACTAAATATTTGGGCGGCCTCTGAAGCCTCTGATTAATCGGAAGCCTTTTTGAATAGTAGAGGATCTCTCTATTGAGGGGAGGAGAGGGAGACTCTGAGAGAGACGGGGCGCGGGGCGGGGGTCCAGAGACGAGGTTTCCAGTGGAGATTTCCCGAGAAAGCGAGATTTTTTCGCGATTTCCCCGCTCTTTTTTGCTCGGGTCCTCAAGGGCAACAAGTGGCTGGCGTGAGCCGGCGTCTCTTATCGCGGTCGGCAGCGAAATAAGTGTCCCGGGCGCAGCGCCTCGGCCTCACACCAAGTGAACATTTCCACTGACACTGACCTATCTACATGAGCGCGCTCCCCCAAGTGAATTATTCCCATCTTAGTTGTAGTTAAGTTTTCACAATGATTTCCAAAACCCTTGTCGCCACCTTCCTCTTCGCTTGCATCGCCTACAGCTCTACTCTTCCCGCAGATGCACCCAGCAAACCCTCCAAGAAACCATACACACGTGAGTTTCCCAAACGCATTTCTTCCAAATGAACCATTCAACGGGGGAGGCTCAAACCACCCCATCACATATTTTCTCTTTCAAGTTTCACGCGCAGTAAGTTTAATGCCTTGCACATATATGCAGGTCGAATGAGGTATGAAGTATAGAGCGCTAAACAAAGTGTTAGCTCTTCGAAATTGCATCTAGAACACTTTTTGCTCAACGAAAATTACTGAGAGTACCCCCAATCAAGATACGAACGTTTTTCTCAGGCATTGATTACGAAAAATTTGAATTTCCCGCTCGCAAGAAAAACCATGGTCTACTTAAATCAAATTGCGCACTACAACGGTTTTGCCAGGATTCTCAAAGAACGGTGTTCCTTGTTTACCCTGTGTTGTTGAAAGTGTAAACAACCTGCAACAGCTGAGCCAAAGTACCGATAGTAGAATTGGCGCATTTTTTTACTGCCAAAAATGTCGCGGTTTAACTTGGGTGGATTATGATTATTTTTTTATGAGCGGGAAGTTTGAACTCATGCTTGGAAAAACTTTAATATCTTGTTCAGAAGTTACTCTCCGTAAATTCCGTTGTGCAAGTCATGTTTTACGTGAAATTTTGATGTAAAAATGTAATATAATGAACGAATTCGCACTTTGCGTAGTGGTCCATAGACTTTACAATCAGACCAGAAAATTTAAATTTCCTGCTGCCCGAAAACAAAGATCAACGTAAGTCAACTCTTTCATCGAAAATAAACTCGTGCATCAAAGGGATAACCAGCGCCTGGTGTCATAATATTTCCGGACCTTTTTGATACTTGGTAATCCTTAAGTTTTCAAAAGTAATTTAACAAGCAGATGAGATCGTTTAATGGTGAAGCACAATGAGATAGCTCGGTGCCAAATTTGATTTGGGTAAACTTCAATTTGTTAACGAGCGGGACTTTTCTTGGACTTTCGAACGCAGAAAATGAAAATTTCTCGTTTGAAAGTTGCATTTGCAAACTGTTGATGTGCCCACCGAATTGCTCGTAAAATTTAAATGTGGAAACATTACTGTATTACTTGCTTTGAATGTATCTGGTGAGCCTGTGTCCTTGTCTTGCGGTCAATTTCACCATGGTTAAAATTTTGGGTTTCTGTAAATGAAAATCGAACTGTGCTCGCCAGCTTTACAGAATCGTTACTACGCTGCTATAAAGAATTCTGCAATTTTCTTTTATCCTAAGGGCAAGAGAAACGTCACACATTAAGCTTTTGTTTACACCATATCGGGCTAAAAGAGTGATCGACGAAAATGATAAGGAGACTTCCAAAAGCAGCGCTCATGGTGAGAGAGAAAGAAAGGGAGGGATGGGATGGGGGGAGGGGGACCACGAAGAAAAATCCAATGCATTACCGAATTTATTTACTTTCTTATTCCAATCTCAAAAGAGCAAGTACCAGAATTAATGATTTTCTTTCAGATCACTCATCGTCGTATGATTATTGATTTCACGGAGTCTCGAGAAACTTGGATGGGGAGGATTTTAAGAGCAACCAGGGATCTTAATAAAATTAAATGAAAAATTCTTTGAAAACTTGGAGGGTTCCTCTCCAATGCTGGTTGTCCAACTTAATGTTTCAATCGTGCCATCGTTGTAACCTGCCCTCTCCCTCGCACCGAAAAAAGCTCAAAGCCCTAACGCGTAACGCTTTCATAAAATACGTGACGCTGAAAGTCAGTCGTTTAAATCCTCCCTCCCCCTCGTAACACGATCCTAACAAAGAGCATGAAAAAGGCTTTTCGACCGTTGGCGTTTTGTGCTGGAATATGGAAGCACGATACCTTAGATTTTAGAAGCGTCGGCGCTGCGTTTCCACTCTACGTTACGTAACGCAGTCTTGTCCTCCTCCTCCCCTTGGGACGCACCCGTGACGCTGACTCAGATCCCACCCCAAACGTTACGTAAAGTGTATGATATACGTAAATAAAAGACGGTCCCTATTATAACGGACTTCTTAGAAGTGCTATCCATTCCGGATTGAGAGAACATGTATTGTAGTTTCGAATCCGTGGGTGTACTCAATTAAACATGGTCAATGATTATTTTGATATACTTTCTTTTCGGTCCGATCAATCAAGGTTTAAATTAAACCTTGGGTCAAAATAAATCGACAGACTCTATTGGTTAATCTGTCCATGAAGCTCGTACTTGAGGTGTTTAGAATCGAAGTTTTATTACAGCCGAAAAATTTAAAATATTTTCCCCCGTTCTCAAAAATAAATGAATTCTCCACTTGTTTTCAAAGAAGGCATAATATTGTGCGAAAAACATGTGACTGAATTTCAAGCATTATCTAGTAGCACGTGCCCAGAAAGAACACAAGACATCTTCGTGATTCATAAAATAATGAACGGGGAGTTTCCCAACCAAGTATTCGTTGATATTTCAAGTGATGAGCTCCAGAAAAACCAGGCGCGTAACTAATGACTTAATTGTGATGCATGCCTTGCGGGTTTTAATTTTCATCATACGAAATTAAGGCAAATAGGATAGAAAGTGCAAATGTCTTTCAATAAATCGCGTGTGGAACAAGTGGAATGTTAAAAACTTTTGCTCCAGGTAAACGGAGAGTCGAATATTTTTCAAATTTCTTGAATTACATTACGACGAGCGTATTAGAAAAGTGCACAATTTACTATTTTCTCTTTCTTTTACTAAACACTGGAAACAAAAGTCGCTTGGATCTAGAATCCATACTCTTAATAACATTGAAGAGATAAAATATTCTTGATTCAACCCGATTTTTCCGATTTGTTTTCTTACTTACTATTTTAGCTAATCGTATTTCCACTGCTAGTTATATTTTCTTTGTTAATTCCATCTCTTATTATATTTTATATTATTATGTACATTCTTACATAATGTGATACTATACACCTAAGCTATTTAAATTTACAATTCGCTCTTGAATACTATAGTTAATTTCACTCCTGTTATAACATATTTCTTTTAATAATAAATGACTTATCGTGACAAAAAAAAAAAAAAAAAAAAAAAAAAAAAAAATCCGATTTTTCCTTGAATCGAAGAGCCGAGCCTCTTGACTTAGGGGGATTTCCTTTTGATTCAAACAAAAAATCCTATTGAATCAAGAGTATTTTTTCTTTTGAATGTTTTTAAGAGTCTGCGGACTCGAGATCCAAACGACTTTTTGGGGACTTACGAACTCACGTGGTCGAACGGCGGCGTCACTGCAAATGTCACGTCTGGAAGTTGCTTTTATGTTTGGAACATAAAAGAACATCTTCTTACGTCGAACGTGGAGAGGCCGTTGTAAGGTTCTTCTAACGCATTTGCAGTTCGCCTACAAATATCAGTGTAGGCAACACTAGCTTTCCCGTGCTCGGATAGTGGTATCATATCGTGAAATTGCACGCATATTCAGAACACACACAAATATGACTTTTTAACGGACGGGAAGAGGTGAGTTGAACGCAATATCAGTTCGCCTCCAACTTTAAGTTTAGTCAACACGAGCTACCACGCTAATAATTGGCTGCTCAAGCGCAAAATTTCGCTAATAATTTGGCGTTACAAATTCCACGTTACGAAGTTTCAATATACTTGAAAATTAGACATCGCACATACGCCAGAAAATTTCCGAAAACTAAAAACGCAATTCATTCAAATGTGTAAAAATAATTCAAGACTAAATTAAGAAAACCCCTCCAAAAAGAATACATGCTTTATCAGCGAAACAATTAAATGCTCATACAGCGTTTATTCTCGAAGCGAAGCTAGTCATAACTTCCTAAATTCGATGCGAACTGTATGTGGTTACATATACTGCCGTGGTAAGAAAAAACGCCGTATGGACCTTCAGACGTTGCCAAATTTTCTTTGATAAAACGCGAATTTTCTGGAAAAGTTACAAATTTTTTCGCTCCAATTTTTCAAATAATTTTGTTCGCAATTTCACCTGAAGTTCCTGAAAATTTCAAGGAAAAATATTCATTACTTTCTTCAGAAATAAACGTTTAATTGAGGGAAATTTGGCCACTCTCGAATGTTCATACGGCGCTCTTCCTTAGCACGGCAGTATACAGCGTTTTCTGGGCAGGTAGAACTTGTCACTTCCCAGACGAGGGGACGTAACTCTATTCCAGGTTCCAAAGTTCACTCAAACAATTCAAGTTTTAATGAAGATATAACTAGGCATTTATTATTTAAATTTTGCTCGCGGTTGCCTACGTTTAAAGAAAAAATCAGTGTAATTTTTAGTCAAGAATGCTTAACAGTTTCCTGGCGAACATACAAATTACGAGTGAAAACAACGTTTAGGTTTAATTACTTTTTGTGTTTAAAAAATGAACGGACTCTATCTTACTTTCTTACATTTGCGTTAAAGTCACTGAAGGAAATAAAAAGATCTATTAAAAAGCTGGTCATACCGCTATCATTCGTGCGCCAAGTCCAAATTTTGTAAGTTTTGACCTTCACACTATGTAAAGCTGCCCTCTCTGTGTGTATCTTACTTTCTTACATTTGCGTTAAAGTCACTCAAGAAAGTAAAAAAAAACCTTTTAAAAATCTGGTCCAAACGCTGCCACTCGTGCGCGAAGTTCAAAATGTCTGAGTTTCGACCTACAAATTATGTGAATCTGTCCTCTCTATGTGTATCTTACTTTCTTATATTCGCGTTAAAGTCACTCAAGAAAGTAAAAAAAAAACTTTCAAAAATCTGGTCTGAACGCTGCCACTCGCGCGCCAAGTTCAAAATATCTAAGTTTCGACCTAAAAATTATGTGGAGCTGCCCTTTCTATGTGTGATAAACACATACAGTCAGGGAGGGAGGAAAGGTGAGGTCTAGAAGGTAACGATATGGAGCGGATGGTAACAATTCTGCCTTTTAACATGTAATGGATTTTCATGGACATCCCTTTCATCGGAAAAATGATTCTCATTCTGAGATGTCACAAGGAGGTTATAGAATTGAAATTGTCGCCTAAAAAATTGTCTTTCCCGTGT